CCAAGGAGGTTTGTGATACAGATTTTAAAAAAAATGTACATAGTGTAAACATGGAGCCCCTGGTGGAGCAGTGGGTTAAAGCGCTGAGCTACTGAACTTGTTGACCGAAAGGTTGCAGGTTTGAATCCTGGGAGTGGCATGAGCTCCCGCTGTTAGACCCAGCTTCTGCCAACCTAGCAGTTCGAAAATATGCAAATGTGAGTAGATCAATAGGTACTGTTCTGGCGGGAAGGTAACAGTGCTCCATGCAGTCATGCCGGCCACATGACCTTGAACAACGGCAGCTCTTTGGCTTAGAAATGGAGATGAGCACCAATCCCCAGAGTTGGACATGACTGGACTTAATGTCAGGGAGAAACCTTTACCTTTACCCTTACCTAGTGAAAACATACAACATTTTATTGTTAATAGTGTAAAGGAACTGTAGAATTAAAATGATTTAGTTAAGTAAAAATCCCAACAGTGTTAAAAACCTTTCATCATATAGAGTTAAACTATTGGAATTTTTAAAGAAGTCTTCATTGGTGATAGAAGGTGAACATGGGGAAGCAGTCTAGCTAAATAGGAAGGGCGATCTGGAGTCTGGGACCAGCCTCTTACAAGCCCCTCATGTATTCCCACCAAATGTTCTTGTGAGGATGAAAATACTGACAGAAGGGCCTCCCCTGAAGATCTCAATGTCTGGTGTAGATTCTCCTATGAATCATGTTGCACACATGACAAAGTTTTATACTACAACCAACTGTTGTATGTAAAAAATATTTATATCAGTGCACCTTTTGTTGTTATGTGCCTTCAGATTTATTCTGACTTAAAATGCCCTGTTCTAGGATTTTGTTGGGAAGATTTGTTCAGAGGTTTGATTACCCTCCTCTATGACTGAGAGAGTCTGACTTGCCCATGTTCATAGAGTGGGTTTCCATGCTAGAGTGAGGATTCAAACAGTGCTACTTGAATACTCAAATCACTACACCATGTTGGTTCCCTTTGGAGAATCCTCTCTTGGTCCAGACATCTGAGTCATGGACTCACTTGGTGGTCATTGCTAAGCTGTTCTTTCTTAGTTCAGAATGAAAATCTCTTATTTTATCAGGTTGTGGTAATGATGGACACTTCTATAGAATGCTTAAGATGATGGTCTGTTTGGATGCTCCTTTCTGTCCATCATGGTGTGAACCTCCCTGTTCTCCGTGGGTTCCATTGCTTCATTCTGAATATTTCAGAAGTGCTTTTCTGTATATCTGTTTCATCTCTGTAGCCCATGGCCTACATGGGGAAAATATTACTTCACTTTTACTAATTATGTTTATAGTTTGCTTTCCCCCCATGCAACTGTAATAGATCTTCAGCACATAATTGTTCAACTTTCTATTGGGTACATTCCATTTTCTGTTGGGGCAATAAAGCTTTATAGAAAACATCGATAACATTTAGCAGGAGTGTAGCTTGAATGTAGAAGACAATCATAAAGGAAATGCAAATTCACTGTATAAGCCTTGCAAATTAAATTTTTGATCAAGTGTGAAAGAATGTTCCCTTCAGGGATCTTTCACAATGTGAGGGCAAACTTACCATAATTGAAGTTCTGTTGCAATACAGAGTTTCTTTTCAATTTAAGATAATTTCTAGCTGTGGGACAGTTTTTATCATCATATGATCTAATGTTTGTTTCTCATGCTTTACAGAAATGAAGTATAGTGTGCATTGTTCCTTCCCCATTCTTCATTCTTTGGTTGCCCATATGTGTTTCCCTAGGCGTATCCTTCAGGGAAGAAATATATTTCATAATGACCATTGCTTTGCATAGATATTACTTTTTTAAGTACAGGAAAAAGAATGTAGTATCCAGTGTAATGAATTCATTTACAGGAGTGCCATAAGTCAAAGTCCACATGAAGGCAGTTGACAATAACAAAATGGAAATACTTGTATTTTATCCAACAGAAGTAATATTTATTTAGGGTGTCAAATTGTGGGCAGCAGTCCTAACCACTGCATGAAGCAGAGTTTGATATATTTCCTTACCTTTGGTACATTGGAGTAGAAAGGGTAAATTTGTCCCTCACTGCTATTATTACTATTACTATTACTATTAATAATAATAATAATAATAATAATAATAATAATAATAATCCACTTTTTCTCTCTACAAAAAATACTCAAAGTAGTTTACAGTAAAACCAATGCAATACAATTTAAAACCTAAAAATATACAAACATTAAAATAGAATTAAATATTAACAGTATTAAAAATAAACAGTTAAAACCCTTAGAACCGATTACAAATCTTTTAATAGCTAAAACCGCAGTACACCCTGACTGGTTCTTAAAAACCTCCTTCTTGAAAAGCCTGTCTGAATAAAAAGGTTTTAGCCTGCTGCTGGATATATAGCAGGGAGCTCCAAAGTTGAGCTATAGTCTTCTACCAAGTGTTTTCAAATATTTTGGGGAAAAAATCCATCATCCTTGACTTATTGACCCTCCTGATGGGCTTGACAGGAGTTTTCGTCCACCAAAATCTGAAATATGCCAAGTTGAGACTGGGCGGTATATTTTTTTGTCTCTCAAGTTCAGCCTTTCACATTTTACTCCTGTTTCTTAATGTGGAAGACATTTCCTATGGTGTTTCATTTTTAATTGTTGTTTCAGTATCGGCTGGTTTAATAAAACTATTCTTTATTCCTTCTTAAGTGGTTCTCAAGCAATCTGATGCAGTAAACGGGCCCCCCCCCCCCCCCCAATGTTCCAGGGCCAATGCCATATTTGTGCCACATTATTATTGTTGGATTCACATGGTTTCCTTGGAACTGGCTGTGGATCAGCAGCCGATGGCTCATAAACTGGCACAGAATTGCAGACCTACTTCATTGAGAGGCACTATTCCAGTGCAAATGTAATAAGAAACCTCTGAGTCTATGTGAAATAAAAAATAAATCATATATTTTTAAACATGTAGTTGAAAGGTTTTCATGAAATATATTGTGTCACCATACATTTCGTTATTACAATTTATTTATGTGTCTGTGTCTCTTATAAAGGGTTGGTTTTGCTAGTAAACTGAATTATCGTGTCGCAAAACGATACATGTCTAAAAAGTGCAACACAAACATGAAATGCTTGGAAAGCTCTGCCCTAGAGGCTGGTTTTCGGTGTCCTTGTCTATCATTCCCGCCACATTGTCTTTCTTCCTGCCTTCATCTTCTCTCTACTAAGTGAAATGTCTTTCTTGTTACTGTAGTTAAGCCTCCCAAGTGTTGTGTAGTCACTTTATATTTTGATCCATAGAGAAAAGTTAGATAGTGGTGGTTGTAATAATAATAATAATAATAATAATAATAATAATAATAATAATAAAGGCCACCTTACTTGGATCTGCATGCATCATTCGAAAATACATCACACAAGTGTCCGACTTGTGATTTTGTGATACAAAATACAGCGTATATATCTCATTTGCTGTGACATACTGTGTTTTTGTGTCAGTAAAATAAGAATAATAATAATAAGATACAAAATCCAGCATATATATCTCATTTGCTGTGACATACTGTTTTTGTGTCAGTAAAATAATAATAATAATAATAATAATAATAATAATAATAATAATAATTTGATACAAAATCCAGCATATATATCTCATTTGCTGTGACATACTGTGTTTTTGTGTCAGTAAAATAATAATAATAATAATAATAATAATAAAGTGATACAAAATCCAGCATATATATCTCGTTTGCTGTGTCATATTGTGTTTTTGTGTCAGTAAAATAATAATATGATACAAAATCCAGCATATATATCTCATTTGCTGTGACATACTGTATTTTTGTGTCAGTAAAATAATAATAATAATAATAATAATAATAATAATAATGTGATACGAAATCCAGCATATATATCACATTTGCTGTATCGTATTGTGTTTTTGTGTCAGTAAAATAATAATAATAATAATAATGTGATACAAAATCCAGCATATATATCTCATTTGCTGTGACATACTGTGTTTTTGTGTCAGTAAAATAATAATAATAATAATAATAATAATAATAATAATAATAATAATGTGATACGAAATCCAGCATATATATCACATTTGCTGTATCATATTGTGTTTTTGTGTCAGTAAAATAATAATAATAATAATAATAATAATAATAATAATGTGATACAAAATCCAGCATATATATTTCATTTGCTGTGACATACTGTGTTTTTGTGTCAGTAAAATAATAATAATAATAATAATAATAATAATAATAATAATAATGTGATACAAAATCCAGCATTTATATCTCGTTTGCTGTGCCATATTGTGTTTTTGTGTCAATAATAATAATAATATTCTTTTGTCTGGATAATTTACCATGTCTTTGCCTGTGAAACCCTTAGTATTTTGATATATATAGACTAGTATAAATAGACACAAGATGCGACCCTGGTAGAGGCTTGGCAAACAGCTCTGGAGGAGTATGAAAATAATTGGGATCCAGTGTGGCTTGTAGAAAAATGAAGGATCTGAGCGGCAAGAACAGCAATGCCTGTTCTGCCTTTTTCTCTCTCTCCTTCAGAGGCATTCTGCCTGCTTTTAAATTTCCCTTAAAAGGGAGAGACTGTGTGGTTCCACCTCCTTCGGCCTGGTGTTCAGATGCAAGCTACGGAGCAGGGCTGTTTACACTCTCTGGGCTGTGTTTCAGTCTCAGGCCGTTTTTGTCACACGGCGGGAGAGTTTTCCTTTTCATCCTCGGGTTCACTTCTGTTCTTGAGTGCTGAACTAGCAGAGCAATAGCCAGTTGGAACGGCTTCTGGCACGCAACCTCCCCATAACCCTGTTCCTCCTCCTGGCCAGGGTTTGGCCCTCTCTAGAAATCTAGTGGGAGGCTGTTGCCGTAGCGACGGGAGCAGGCCCTAGCTTTACCTCACTGAATTCCAGGGCCGGTGCCAAGCAATTGAGAAATCGGGAGGAGGGGGAAGGACTCCAGATGTTTACTCGCTGCTCTGCATATCCGGGTTGGGAGCAGACACAGCTGAGACGGAGGACCGAGCAGCAACGCTTCCTGTTGCTCGAAGGGGTGGAGAAGCAAGGGCTTGGAAAGAGAAGGGAGATTCGGGCTTGCAAGGCAGCCAAAGGGGAGTGTTGTGGCAAAGTGACAAAGGAAGGGGGAAAGGAGGCAGCACAAGAGTTCAAGGCACAGATTTGGCATGAGAAGGAGCAGTGTCTCTGGCAGGGTGTGACAGAGGTGGAGCAGGGGCAGTGCTGCGTGGAGCAGAGCAAGAGAAAGCTAACAGCTTTATGAGTGTCACATTCCCATCCTTCAACATGAGTCACGGCCTGGGTGCTTGCAAGAGACTCGCTCCCTTCATCCATGTTCCAGCCTGCCCTGGGAGCGGCCTGCCATGAAACCGACTGTGCGTCTGTGCAAAAGAGCCCATGGATCCCTATAGTTAAGTTAGTAAGGACATCTTTAATCCATATATCTCCTGAATGTGTTGGAATTAGAAAGGAAGGAACAACCAAAACAAAAGAAAGAAAGAAAGAAAAGAAAAAGAAAAAGGGAGGCTTATGCTGGAAAAGGAGCCAGGTGGAAAGGTTATACCAAACTTGGGGGAGGGGGGGGGGCTTTGGTGTCCTAAGAGATAGGAAACCTTGGTAACCTGTTTACAGATTTATATTTTTCCACAGGTTGTCTAAACTCATCTTTTTCTGCTTTAGGGACTGACATTTATGTGGAGTTCTGAGTCCCAGCTTGGTGATGTGATGGATCCTAAGCCCCAGCCGCTGTCCTCCCTCCTTCCCTGTTCTGCTGCCAATGGACGTGGGGGGCCCAAGCAACCATCAGGCAACCCAGAGACAGGTATGTCCTGTGATTTTAGCCTTTAGCTTGAGGAGCAGTATCATTGGGTACACCTACACTGTAGAATTAATGCAGTTTTGACACCATCAGAACTGCCAAGGCTCCATGCTATGGAATCATTGGTGTTGTAGTCATACCTAAAATTGATAGTGTACGAGGTGGTAATCTCAAGCTTGAACTTCTGCAATGCATTTTACATTGGGCTACTTCTGCACCAAGTTCGGAAACTTCCCTTAGTTCAAAACACAGCAGCCAGACTAGTTACAGGAACACCCAGGAGTGAACGTATTACATCTATACTATAGTCACGCTTCTGGTTGCCCCAGGCAAAGTACAAACTGTTGGTTTTGAACTTTAAAACCCTACATGGCTTGGGTCCAGGTTACATACAGGATCACCTTCTCCCATACAATACACCCTGCACACTTAGGTCCTCTGGGGGCTGCTACTCCTACCAGACAGAACTTGACTGGTGACTGTCACTCAGAGGACCTTTACATCAGCTGCCCCAGGTCTCTAGAATGACCTGCGAGAAGAAATCCGACAACTAAATTAGCCCAATCTCTTCTTATACAGCTACCCAGTCAATTCTAAACTGAATTTTCAACTCATGTCTTGTGTTTGCTGTATTTTAATTGTTGTTCTGTGATTTTTAATATATGTATTTCATAGAAATACATTTTAATAGATGTATTTAGCATAATGGGTTGTTGTAGGTTTTTTCAGGCTATATGGCCATGTTCTAGAGGCATTCTCTCCTGATGTTTTGCCTGCAGCTATGGCAAGCATCCTCAGAGGTTATGAGGTCAGACTTCATAACCTCTGAGGATGCTTGCCATAGATGCAGGTGAAACGTCAGGAGAGAATGCCTCTAGAACATGGCCATATAGACCAAAAAAACCTACAACAACCCAGTGATTCTGGCCATGAAAGGCTTTGACAATATTTTGCATAATGTTTTACAATTATGTGTTTTTAACTGTGTTGTGCCCCACTCGAGCCTCAAGAAATAATAATAATAATAATAATAATAATAATAATAATAATAATATCTATCATTTTCTGCCCAAAAGGGCTGGTGCCTCACCAGACTACACATCTTAAGATTCCATATCATTGAGCCATGGCAATTTAAAGTGATGTCAAGCTGCATTAATTTGACAGTGTAGATGCGTCAATTGTCATTAAATCATGCATTGTTTTATCAAATTTATAGAGGCTCTGGATTTTCCTGTTTAGGGGTGATGGGTCATCTGAGAGTTGAGAACCAGTTGTTTTTGTTTTTAGATTGCATGATGTAGTTCATGCTTAATTGGAGTGCTGTAGGCTCTTACTTTTATATGCATGAGGAGGATTTTTTTCTTTGTTTGTCTTCTTTTTTAATATGGTTCAAACGTATATTCATCAACTGCTGTTTGCAGTGGAGCTGCCCCCCCCCCCCCAAGAGCTGTGTCATATGATTCTTCTTACCTTAAAGATATTACAGTTTATATGCAGTCCTGAGGGACTTCACAGGTGGTATTAGTAGTAATTTAGAGGCTCATCCAGTCTAGCTTGTGTCCAACTTTACATATCATCTTTAATTTTTCTTTGTGCTGATAGCACTGTGAGATTATAGATTTACAGAGGAGCAGTGCTACACTAAATGTTTCTGAGGTCTAATTGTTTTTTTTAACTTACAAATGAACTATCGAAGAGTGCTCTTAGTTTCACTGCCCACCAGTCCAGCTCTGTGAAATTTTATTCTTAGTCATGCTCCAGTTATACACAAATAACTGAAGCCTATCATGGGTAGTGATACACATGTAGCCATGTATCTGAATTTTGATGCATTGAGGAAGTGTTCATTACCTTATCATAGTGATGAACATCCCCATAGCTGTACCTTTCCCTGAATTAACAAGTGTATAGAACTTTCACAGTGGCTTTATGAGAAACATAATAGAAATGAGGTTTTAGATTTTGCTGTAATAGGGATGATAGCAAAATATGCCCAGCTCTAATCAGCTTCTACCCCATTTCTGTTTAATGCTGGTTGTAATAATCTAATGGAGAGAAACAATGGATGCTTTTATACTTAGTGGTGCCTAACACAAGGTGGTCTAATCTGAGAAGAAACCACAGCTGTAAAAAGAAATTGGAGTAAAGGACATGGAAAGAAGATGCATGGCTTTGTCATTTTTCATTGTCATTTGTCATTGGTTATAATCTGTCCTTTGAAATATGGTTTGGAAATTCAGAGCATAGATATTGTTCAGGTGTTTTATGTATGTGGGTATACAAGGAAGTGATTTTCCATCTTGTATTTTAGTTACTGTGTGTGGTGATTTAACTGTTCCTTAACTCCACCCACCTTTCCCTAGCCTTAGGAGATGCCCGGCCAAAGCCACCTGTGAAACCCAAGCCTTGTGTGCTGCCAAAGCCAGCCATGCCAACAAAACCTTCCCCTGGACTGCGGCAGTCTCTTCCTGAGGTGCCCTCAGCAGAAAAAATAAATTTTCTGGCTGGGCCAAAGCCATACAGCAGTGGTGCTGGCAATGCTGTTAAACGCCTTTCTTTTAGTCTCAACAAGTGCCCTCCCAAAGAAGCTGCCAATGGGAAAGAGGCCCTACATCTATTTCCTACTCCAGTCAAGACATCTGGAGAAGAAGAAGCTGGGACTGCAAAGAAATCCAGTGCAGCAGATGGAACTTCTGGGGAAGAATGTGAAGAATCCTCTATTATATGCAAGGGTGCTGTCCCCTTCAAAGTGAAGCCAGTGCCAGTAGTGGCCAAACCAGAGCGTTTTCCTGGGACCACAGTAGAGGAGATCTTAGCCAAGCTAGATAAACCCATCAAAGTGGGGCCAAATAACCCCGACAGGCCTCGACTTGTGCGTTCATTTTTCAGCCAGGATGGTAGCACAGCTGTTCAATTGGGACCTAAAGGTTATGCTGCATCCAGGAGATACTCCAGCGGTGGAGAAGGGGAAGGAACTGAGCCAGAGGATCCTACCTACAGAGTCTCTGATGAAGTTGAGGAAAGCTGTTTGTCAAGGAACAAGGAAGAAACTACAAGCTCAAATGGCCAGCATGTGCCTGAAACTGAGCAACCAGCAGGAGCAGTAGAGAGAAACACAGATGTCTTCTCTAGAGTCAGGTGGGATAATAAATGATTTGAATAGTCAGATATTTTTGAGGGGAAATTCTGGGTTATTATGGATTGTTGGCTTTGCAAAGCAAAATAAAAAAAAACTGTGGTGGTATGTGGCTCAGCAGCCCTTAACTGCTAGGGAAAGTTAAAATGTGCCAAATATATCTTCAGAGTGATCTATTGAAATGATTTCACTGTTCTTTCACACTAGGTTTTAGGAGAGCTAAGTTATTTATGCGAGGTGAGAATGGGGTTATCAAAATTTAAGGCTACAGTCCTGAGCATGCATACATGGGTATAAATCTTATTCAATGTAGGAAGAATTGGGTTCATTTCCTACAAGAGTTGTCTTTGCAGAAGCCAAATTACATTCCATCCTAATATGGAATTAAGATTTTATATATATATATATATATATATATATATATATATTTGCACTTGAGCATTTGAATGGCTAGGGACTAAAACAGCTCTAGATATAAAGTGATACTATTTGAGCTTTCAATTAGCACATTTTATTTATTTATTTAAAACATTTATATTTTTGCCCTTCTCACCCCGAAGGGGACTCAGGGCAGAGCACAACATACAAATGGCAAACATTCAATCCTGGGACATGAATAAATAATATGCATACATAAACATTAAAAACATTTGTATCAACATTAAAATACACTGTTTAAAACAGTCTCAATCATCCACTTCGAATCTAGTTGGCGTGGTAAGGTTTCCTATCGCTGCTTTATTGCACTGTTCCAAAAGCTTGGTCCCACAGCCAAGTTTTAACATCCTTCTGAAGGACAGGAGGGAGGGGGCCGATATAATCTCACTAGGAAGGGAGTTCCATAGCCAAGGGGCAATAACTGAGAAGGCCCTTTCTCTCATCCCCACCAATTGTGCCTCTGACAGTGATGGGATGGAGAGCAGGGCCTCCTCGGAGGATGTTAATCTTCGCGATGGTTCATACAGGGAGATGCATTTGGACAGGTAAATTGGACCAAGGCCACGTAGGGCTTTATAGACCAAAGCCAGCACTTTGAATTGTGCCCAGTAGCAAACTGGCAGCCAGTGGAGCGGACGTAACATGGGAGTTGTATGCTCCCTGTATGCCACTCCAGCTATTAACCTGGCTGCCTCTCGTCGGACTGTTTGAAGCTTCTGAACAGTCTTCAAAGGCAACCTCACAAAGAGTGCGTTTCAGTAGTCTATCCTAGATGTAACGAGAGCGTGGACCACCATGGCCAAGTCAGACTTCCCAAGGTACGGGCGCAACTGGTGCACAAGTCTTAATTGTGCAAAAGCCCCCATAGCCGCCACCGCAGCCTGGGATTCCTGGCTCAATGGTGAGTCCACGAGGACACCCAAGATGCAAACCTGTGTCTTCAAGGGAAGTGTAACCCCATCCAGCACAGGCTGTAACCCTATATCCTGCTTGGCCTTGCGACTGACCAGGAGGACCTCTGTTTTGTCTTGATTCAACTTCAGTTTGCTCGCCCTCATCCAAACCATCATTTTGCATACTTAAGAGAGAGAGAAATCATTTCGATTAATTATGTCTGAGGATCAACCGTTTCCCTCTATTTTGTAGGTATACATTTGCCAGGTAGAAAGCCTTTCTGAGACAGATGTAAAAAACAGTTTCTCTTTTCTGATCTGATGTTTTTTTTTCTCACAGCAGCTCCAGTCGACCTAGCATGAGCTGCGATGGAGGCCGAGCTGGACATAGCAGTCCACCATCTCCTCCTGGTGTGAGTTATCTGCAGCACGGCAATTCCTCCGCTGGGCTCTCTCCTTCCTGGCTCTCCTCTGTCTCAGGGGTATCTGCCACCTCTCTCCTTCTGGGCTCCCTCTCTGTAGGGTGCGTGTCTCCTTTCTCTACTAATGCTTCACTTCAGGAAGAGATTGATAACCCAAGCAAAACACAGCACCCGCATGCACCGCCTCTAGATTTCTCAGTCCAATTCTGTGTCCTCTTTTCAGCTACAGGATATGTCAACAAAACATGTCCTGTGCACTGCTTTACCCCCTTTGAGATTTGAAATATTCAGCCATATTCTTGAGTATGTTAGTTAGCACTTGACATGAATTCTTAGGAAAGTTAAGCCAGTTTCTATGGCATATAGAGTCCCATCACATTACTTCTTTCCTTTCTCCCCTATACCCACCAAAGCAAGAGAGTGAGAGAAATTGGTCACTTGTCTCTTCAGTCTTTTAAAGAATAAAAGTGGGCCTAGGCTAACTAACTTGTATAAACTGGATTTGCCTATACTTGAAAAATTAATGCAGAGTCTTGGCACCTTAGCTGAAGGGATTGGAGCAGCCATGACTCAGTGCATACAGTTCAGTGACCTGTCAGGTATGTATGAAGTAGCTCCCAATGCTTGGCTTTTGACCAAATCTACTAGCATAAAAGGCATAGCTTCCGCTTCTTGCTTGTTTGGGTGGGTAATGATTAACTCCCTTTGCCTCTCCCAGAGAAGGAGGGGTGAAAAAGCTTGCAGCTCATGGGGTGTGATCTGTCTACCTTGGTTCTTTCTCTTTTTTCATAGGTCTAGGTGGAGAGGAGGCAAGACCTGGGGTGGGGCACACAACATTGGTATTACTGCAGCATGCCGATTGGTTTCTTCAGCTTCTCTTTTTTCCTTCCTCCTCCACTCTTTGCATTTCATTTCCTTCTGGCTTTAATGATTATGGGTTTGAGGGAGTTTTTACAGGATGAAATCAAGGAATTTTTAGTGGAATCAGAGCTTCCAGCTTGTGTGGGGTGGGGGCAGGCTTTGCAGTACAGAAATACGTACATACTATGTCATCAGCTGGGCACCCCTCCCCCCAGCACCAATTGCCGCTCTGGGCTAGAGTGAAGAGAGAGGGGGCCAAGGGACAGTTCCACCTTGTCTCCTGTGCTATGCTAGTAATATAATGTAATGTAATATAATATATTGTATATACATATAATATTTATAATATTATAATGTAATACAATATAATACTACTAATAATATGATATTATAATTATATATTTATATATTTATATTACATGTAATATTATTAATAATATTATAATATAATGGTATAGTACAATATAGTAATATTTAATACTGACATTGTACTATGCTAATAACATATTGTATATATATATCTTGTAAGTCCTTCTGAGTCCCCTTTGGGGTGAAAAGGGCGGCATATAAATGTCATGGATAAATAAATAAACAAGTAAATATTCTCTTCAGGCTCATTTATGGGGAAGGAGCCAGAATGAAAAATGAAATCCTTTTATGTTAAATAATAGCTTTGAAATGAGAGTGAAAGTTAAGGATTTAATTGGGATGCTTCAGATGGTTTTAAAGACTGAGAAGTTATTTGTTTTCTAACCTACCCTTCCCTTCTTTCTCTTCATCAGCCTTATCAACCCACTGCTGTGCTTTCTTCTGGAGTCACACCTGGGTCTCCTGATGCCCCTGCTGAACCTGCCCCAGGTGCCCCATACTTGCCACCAGATCTTCCCAGCACTCAAACTCAGCTTCCACCAGGTTCTCCTGATGCAGCTGAACCCTTCAGATCTCCTGTTCAAGTCTCCCTTGGTCCTGCTCAGATTCCAGGTTCCCCCGTGACTCTTCCAAATCTTTGGTCCCCAGGATCCCCCAGTGTTATAATTAAAACTTCCCCAGGAAGCTCCCCATCTCAGGGACTCCCAGATCTCTCTCCAGGGCCCCCAAAGGTATCTGCCAGCTTGACCTGTGTTCCTGTGGCTCACAGTCTGGAAACTTCTCATTGTCTCTTGGGAGTCTCTGAGTCCCCTGGTTCCCCCAGCACTTCTCAGTTCCACATTGGCTCTGACCAGCCTCCTGGTTCTCCCTCTCGCATGCAGGACTCTTGCTTACTCTCTCAGGACCAGGATTCCCTTAATAATAAAGAACAGAGAGAGACCCTTGAAAGCCCACAGATTTCTCAGTTAGGCCTACGCCGTGCCTCAGAGGGAGTGGTGCATCCACGGGGTAAAAAGCTGGTCAGGGAGGAGCTGGGAGGGTCCTTATCTGTCCTGCCAAGTAAAGGGGGGGCCCTTATAGAACAGGCTGCTGCTGGAGAGTCCAATTGGAGCCTGTCTCAGTCCTTTGAATGGTCATTTCCTAGTCGGCCTCCAGAATTGGGTGGGAGGAGACTGGGATCCCCTCCTCAGTCTCCTATTCAGGAGGCTGATGACACTGGCCTCTTGGAGACAGAATTGGGAAGAAAGAGCCCTAGGCTGGAAGGGATGCATGAGGAACCAGGTTTAGAAGGCCAGGGCAGGAGTGGAAAAGAGGCTGAGGCTTACAGGACCTCTTCCTATCCCAGTGTCTCCAAGGATTACCTGGAGTTCCCTTCAGTCCTTGGGGTGTCAGCACCTGGAGGTCCTTCTGCTCAGGAAGAAGGTAGCAGCCACAAACTGATTAGCCCTATTCTAGCAGAAGAGATTGATTTTGAAGAAAAGCATGAGGGCTTCCTGCCTCTTTCCCCTACCCATGGGGAAGGGGCTTTACGGGTAATGGAGTCATTGCCAAGTGTTGAGCAAGCTGCCCTATCTGCAGAGCCTTGCATCTTTTTCTCAGAAGATGCCCAGGTGCAAATGGCTGCTTCCTGCCAGGAGGACAATAGTGCTCTGGCACGAGCACAAGGAGGCAAGGTAGAGGATGTTGACGTATTGAGGGTGACCGATCCTGACCCTGGATCTCATTGGCTGGATGAACTTCTGGCATCTCCTCCACCCAGTGCTGATGATACAAAGAGGAGAGGCAAATCCAATCCGGAGGAGCCCACAGGACCAGAGGTAAAGGAGCTTTGTTTTGTGTGAGTGTGGGAAGTTGACAGAGACAAAGGAATTGAGGCCATGAGTGAAAAGTCTTGTTGGCGTTCTCTTTTTAGTGCCTTAGAACCTGACATTTAACTGTCTATGGGCCTTCAAGTTGCTTTTGATCTAATGACAAGCCCATGAATTTCATAGGGTTTTCTTAGGCAATACTTTCTCAAGAGGTGGTTTGTCATTGCCTTCCTCTGAAATAAAGCCTGCAACACCTGGTATATCCCCAGGACTAACTGGGCTTGACTCCAGTTAACTTCCGAAATCAGACAGAGCATGGTGCCTTTAGGTAATTTTGGCCCTCCTAGAATCTGGCATGCTGGGGGTTCAGTATGGCTTGGTGGATGCACATTCCTGCCCAGTACGATAAAGAGAGCTAGTCTTTGTGAAGGGCAGGTCTTGGTTTTTGAGTAAGCTGCAAAGTGGTTAAACAGGTTAGGTGGCTGCAAACCATGCAGGAACAGAAAGTGAGCCAAAAAGTGCTCCCCAATGGGATAATCCTCTAGTCATCCTGGGAGGAGTAACTCCTCTTCCTTCTCCAAATTTCACCTTCTTTATTTGTCAGAGCTGTTGACTGGATGGTTTCACCTCACCATAAGAAGTTATGACTTGAGCATCATTACATTCTATTAAAGAATGTCAGTTAATTGTACCATCTTGTAGACAGTAATGAGATGTGTATTTAGGAAGGCATGGTTGCTGTAGGGTGCACAAATGAACCGATAATGAGCATGGTTGTAGTAGGTAGTATTTCTGAAAGTTCAGAAAATCAAATAGACCAATTAGAGTTCTGGTGGCTTGGTTTTGGGGTTCTTATGCCATGTGCAACTTCATTTTCATTTTCCTTTCTTTGTTGGATTGCATAAATGTTTTACAACTTTTTCATTTTCCTTGCTAAAATTTCCTTTCCATAATTTCTGTATAGTTCTTCGGAGTAGACCAGTGATGGGCAACCTTTTGAGCTTGGTGTGTCAATACTCACCAAAAAAACCGAGCATAACTCGGGTGGGGTGTCACTTTGAGAGAAAAATAATTTCATGATATTTATAGTTTAATAACAAAAATATATTATTGTAATATATAACTGTATTTAATAAACCAAAAACTAATCATTTAACTTACCTGCTTTTTCTATAATGCCATATATCTCGGCATTATAGAAAAATGCTGGTGTAGGAGCCGAGGATGAAATGTCCTTCTTGGGATGTGGCCCCATCTTCTCTGTATGCAGCCGCATGCGGCTGTGTGTCATCGAAAATGGCTACGCGTGTCAGTGCTGACACACGTGTCATAGGTTCGCCATCATGGGAGTAGACAGTTCTGCAGACAGTCTCATACAATGATCATCTTAAGCATTTGTTTAGGAAAAATAAACCAAATCTAGATTTAGAAATTTAAGTAGATACAATTTTCTTCTTTGAAAGATCATTTGTAATCTAAGTACAGATGAGTAGGGTCATCATGCATGGTAGTCTGCAAGTGAGTTTGACACTCATTTTTTTTATATCTGGAATGCTCTCCATATAGGAAAATAGTAATGTAAGAAGTAGCATTTTTTGTTTGGAACACAGGAAGTTATATTACCCTGGTTCATTGAGTTCAATACTGTTTAATATGTAGTGGGTTACACTTTTAGTTTAAATATGTATTTGGGACAGACTTTTAATTTTTAAGAGCTTCCTTGAAAGAGAGAAAGCAGACTAGAAATTTATTTTATTTATTTTATTTACTTTGTTTTGTATCCCGCCCTCTCTCCCTTCTAGAGGGATTCATATACAAATACTATAATCTATCAGTCAGTCAGTCAGTACTACTGATTCACTGAATCTGCTCTAATTGTCCATACCAGTTGGATTTAGGCTGGCATTGTTTGCATGCAAAACAACTAGCAACACCAAAATTAAAAATTAAGGGAATATATGTAAACTAATTGGAAAACCCTGGTAAATCTCCATTTTCAATTTTTGGTGTTTTTTCATATTGGATATTGCTAGAAGGAGTGTCTTTACTAAATCAAATTCCTTCTAAATTAGTGTATCCTTCCTACTTGTTTTTCTTTATCAGGATCTCCTTGGATGGTCACGGAAGGACCTTTGTAGTGAGTTTGGCATTGTGGGAACAAATCAGCCTGACACCTATGGCATGGGATGGGCTGCTGGTGTCAGCAAGGTGGATTGGCCTAGTGAGACGGAACAGGATCGAGAGTTTGGCACTGGTGTACAGGACTGGCCAAGTTCATATAGCATTGGTGATCCCAAAATGCAGGATATGGAATTTGGTGCCATGCAGCAAGACTGGACCACTGGGACACCTTTAATGGTTAGTTCCAATCCAAGGCAAGAAGACTGGCTTAATACTTATAGTGGCAGTCACACCGAGGAGCAGATTAAGGAATCGGATTGGAGCAGCTCGTATAGCGTGAGCAGTGCAGAGTGTCAGGACAGAGAGCCATATGTGAGGAAGCCTGGTTGGCCCAAACTCTGCAGTGCTGAGGATGATCAGGGGAGCAGTGAGTTTGGAACCGAGAAGACAGGCTGGAGCAGAGAGTATGATTCTGGTGAATCAGAAGAAACAGCCTGGCCAAAGAAATGCAGTATAGAAGCTACCAGCTGTCCAGAACTGGAGATCAACGCTAAATCACCTGCTGATAGCCATCAGGATATTGGACTGAGGACTGATGATCACAGAGATGTGGATGTTATCTCTCACAGGGCCACATTCAGTGCCAGTGAATCAGTCTGGCTTAGTGACTCCACTGCTGGTAGTGCTGACCAAATGCAAAGAGACTTCAGTACCCACCAATTAGATCAACCCAGCGAGCAACCAGATTCTCAGGTTAGCACCCACCAGCACACATGGCCCAGTACATATAGATTTGATGGTAGGGGTAGTCAAGACTCTGAACTGAATGAAAAGGTATCTGACTGGCCTAACCGATACGATAAAGGGGTTTCCCAAGGCCACACTGGTAACTTCAATGCTGAAAAACCAGATGGAGCTAGTGAATATGTTGATTGCAGAGCAGGTTGGGAAAGAGAAGTAGATAATGGAAATAGAACCACTAAATCTGAGTCTGACAACCTGGAATTCTGTGTGCAGAACTCAGTCTGGGCTGATGATTACAAGTTGAAAGAAACTGATGCACAAGATGATTTTTCTACCAACACAAGAATCTTGGACAAAGATACTGATCTTTCAGGAACTGAGCAGAAAAAAGAGTTTGGTGCCATAGAGAAGGCCCAAATTTGCAGCTTTGGACAATTAGATTTACCAGGTGAAAGGGTGATGGTGGATGTGGAGGAGATGGGGGATAGTGGGATAGATTTGGGTGGAAATCTGAGAACTATGGCCGGAGTTGAATTCAGAGGAATTGGAGAGGGGCAGTCTAAGTGGGTACAAGAACTTGGCCTCACAGATACGGATTTATCCAGTGACCTGAAAATTGAAAAGCCAGACGTCTTTAAAAAAAACACAGAGAAGGAGCTGCATTGGTTTCCTTCCCTGGGCTTGGAAACCTTGACTGTTTCATTAGAGGCAATGGATACCAGAGAGCCGGGTGTGGGACAAGCAGATATTCCCTACAGATCTAGTGCTGAAAACATGGACGTTTCTGATTTAAGGCCCAACACTTTGGATGGGACCGAGAAAGTGGGGCCAAATCAGATGGATTGGACAGATGAACAGGAGCATAAAGACACCAGTTACCACTATGGAGCTATTGGTTTAGAGTGTGATACAATTCAACACCAAGGAGAAACCGAGGACTCTGCAATGAGGTAAACACTTGTATTTGACCTCTACTAATGGTGGGGTGAGAGAAGAGTGGGATTGAATAAGTGTAATAGCATAGAAAAAATGAAATAGTAATTAATTTTCACACATTTTAAATAGCTTGCACCCTAATCTGCTTGCTACCCTCCCTTTCATTTTAGCTAGTTACCTGTTGTTGCTATAGGAAGCACTGCATGGTACTTTTTCTGTTGAGCAGAGCAGATGAATTCTTGCTATATCCTCTTATGGTCGGAAAACATTTATGGGGCATAAGCAAGAAGCAGTTGCAATGTTTCACTGTAAAAGTGCAGCCCAGAATTGAAGTAGTAGTTTTTCTTTCTTCTTGCTTTAAAAGTATAGAAGGTTTGTTTTTTGGAACTGTTTTTTACTGGCTATGTAAACGCAGAAGGCTACTAAGCTGCTTTAGAATAAACTTGCCTGCTGTTGTAGTCACCCAGAGGCATATTTTGGTTCACCCAAGGTGAACTTGGAAGGCCCCAATGACAGAGCAATTCTTTGTTCTGCCAGAGTTACCCATTTTGCTCTTGTGTGGTCAGTTATCCATCTATTCCAGTGTTTTATCTTGGATATCTGCCAAGTTCAGTTGGATGGAAGACAAGGAGACTGATTCTTTCTGAATTGCATTTAGTGTTGGGCTTTCAATTAGCTGTCTTGGTTTGCAACATCCTGTACCAGCAGACCCCATGTTCTTTATATATATCATCAGCAAACTTATTCAGTATGCTCTGAAGCTGTTGCCTCCTGTCATGCTCTTGTCCCTTTTTGTGATGAATGCAGGATGAATAGTGCTATCTCATTTAATTCATTATATTCTGTAGGGTTTTCTTCATCATTCTTACTCCACAAACACTATTATTGAATATATTTTGGTGCTCTTGTTTTAATCTTTGTTTTGCTGGCTGACATAGCTTTTTAGCTTGTTTGGTTCTTTACATTTGAGATTCAAAATTCAAAACCTAGTCAGAAACTGAAAAAAGTCCAGCAAATCACTGTTATTGTTGTAGTTCCAATTTCCCTCTTTATTTTACCAGCAATTACCTAAAGCCTTCCGCAGCATTTATAATGGCAATTGAAATAAATCGGTAGTCAATTAAGCTTCATGTTAGGGATGGAAAACTACTAGGGTCTGTATGCCCCCCCCCCCCCCCATGACTTCACTGCCCCGGTTGTTTTTCCCTTGACTTCACCTAACTTCTCATGGGGACAGTTACATCTAGCCACTTCCCCAACACACATACTCCTGAGCCACATTTTCAGACATTTGTGGCTTCCCTTGCATTTTTTAGGGCTATAGAAGCCTTGTGGTCAAACCATAGAATCATAGAATCATAGAATCAAAGAGTTGGAAGAGACCTCATGGGCCATCCAGTCCAACCCCCTGCCAAGAAGCAGGAATATTGCATTCAAATCACCCCTGACAAATGGCCATCCAGCCTCTGCTTAAAAGCTTCCAAAGAAGGAGCCTCCACCACACTCCGGGGCAGAGAGTTCCACTGCTGAACGGCTCTCACAGTCAGGAAGTTCTTCCTAATGTTCAGATGGAATCTCCTCTCTTGTAGTTTGAAGCCATTGTTCCGCATCCTAGTCTCCAAGGAAGCAGAAAACAAGCTTGCTCCCTCCTCCCTGTGGCTTCCAGGAAGTGATCAGACTACTTTTTCTGAAGAAAGGCCTCTACAGACAGAAGGAAAGTTTCTACAAGGTTTTAAAAAAGATGTGCATATGGAGTAGATAGTAAAATAGCTAGAAAGCCCCCCATGATGCTTGGAGAACGCTAACTGGCCAATTTCAGTATAGGATGCCAATCCCAGCTTTGTTTCACTCGTACATTTCTTGATTTCTCCCCACCTCCCCTCCAGTAGCTTGAACCTCTCCTCTCATTCTGTGATCATCAAGCACTGGTTACCATATCGCGAGAAACATAAAACGGCCAGCACAAAATAAGGCAGGACATGACTAATGCTACCTAACATTATCTTTAATCTACTTTATCTGTGGCTCTCTTGAACATTGTGGTTTATGCATGGGCATACTACTTGGGACTCTGTGATTGGAGAATGGGTCCTTTGCCAAAATGTATTTCAGCTGAAGTTCAAAACACTGTAGGACCAAAGGTTTAGTGGCGTTGCATTATCCAAATCTCCATCTGCTATCTAGGTGCTTGTAAGATGAGTAGGCAGGCGGGCTAAAAGCTGTGCTCATGTGGAAGAGGCACTGTCTTACAGAGAGGTGGGACATGAAGAATTTGATAGGTCCTGCTGGATTTTCTTCCAGAAGCCCTTGACCCCATAACAAGAGCACATTGAAACTGAGAAATGGTGCCATTATAGAGTGGAGTGCATGGTGAAATGTGAGATGTAACTTAGATATATTGTGGCTTTGAAGGATTTTATGTTATTGACATGTGGTCCTTGCTTCCCCCTTAATACCAGTATGTATAGCCACAAAAATTGGTTTTGCTGCTATGGAAGGAAAGCAAGGTAGGCAGTAGATATGACCCATCTGAGGCTCAAGCTTTCTCCATGGACTGGGCACTGAGTTGATGAGGTGCCTCTGGAAAGCTTTGAGGGCAAAAAGGCAGCTCTTCTTCCCAACTCTACCAACTGATACTGAGAGCAATACTTTGAAGGGATACTTCTGAACATTTTAGACTACTCTGAGAACAGAGTTTATGTTCCACTGTTCTCACTGTTGATATATCAAGCCCCCATGAACCTGTCTAACCATCTTGGGATCTAATTATATGTTATAGACCCCACAGACCACAATCTCAAAAAGCAACCTTAGGGAGGATAACAAGGAGAAGAGAGGCAATCGACTTTTTCAGCCAACATACCTAAAGCATTTTTCTTCAGCATACAAATGATATAATTGCCATTGAAGATGGGAATCTGCATTTTTTTTGTTGGCAATAGTACCCCCCCCCCCCCCCAGTGATAGTTGAGCTCTTTTTGTTTAAAAGTATCTTATTCTACTTGGAATATAGATACATGTTCGTCTTGGTCAGTGGTTCTCAAACAATAGATTAAGACACTGGTAATCTTAGTGGGATGTAAGTGCATTAATCATAGCGATAACATTATTCTCATGAATACTGCTGCAATGTGTATTTTTTGTATTTTACAGCTATCATAATAGAGAAACATTAAATATCTGCAGTAAAATTTAAATAATAAATTGTATTATATCTTTCCATTACTAATGAAATTGCAGTGTTTATTTGTGTTTGCTTCTAAAATACTATTGCAATTGCATTTAAATTTGACTTTTAATTGATAAATGTAATGACAGAATATTTATGAACATATATATTTCCCTTTAAGAAAAAGTGAGGCTTTCCCCCCATGAATCAGGTTCTTTGGCAGGGAGATGAGTGTATGTTAAGATATAAAAGGCAAAGAATCACTGCATTAGGGTTCTTATGTTATTTGTATAAGGAGGAAAGTTGACATTTGTTTATAGATTTGAGAGTTACCTCAAGGCTACATCAAATGCTATACAGAAGAAAAGCTGGGTGTGTTCAAGGTGGTGCAGATGTATACATGTGTGTATTCCTCCTGTATATTAGAGTTGAAGAAACATATAATGAAAAATGGAAACTTGTGTAGAAAGCATGAAGTACCCTTGATTTCTTTGAACTTAAAGCTATCGATCAGGCCTACAATCAGACAGATCAATGTATTTACTTTGGCTTACCCACATTGTAAGAATCTTCCAATTATTCAGTTTGCCTTATTGCTATATAAAGAATGTCTCAGTTTGTGTAACAGCCATAGAAAATAATAGGTTGCGCAGTATAGTGCATACTTTGGTGTCGTTCCGTGTTATGCTTGGAACAGCCTTGTGATGTTGTGTAGGTAAAAGATGCCATCTGGTACAGGATCATCTAGTTAGTTTTGGCTAAGTAAGAGTTTGAACCGGTAATTTCCCAGGTTGTATTGTGGAATTCGGATCATTTGGCTGTCATTGTTGTCATGTTTGAGATCTTGTCAAACATGTCAAAAGTGAGCCTAGACAGAGAAAGATAGTCCATTTTATGTGGGAGGGGGGAGTTGAAGGAGGGAAACCATTTTCATTGGTTATTCCTCCCTCTTCCCATATCAAAAACAAGGGTTGTTTCGAAGATGGTAACATGGCTGGGGAAAATAACAGGAAAACAGGGAGATGGTTTAACTCCTTCAACCAACCCCCTTCCCCTCAGATAATGGAACAGTACCGACAAAAACTTGGCATTGACATATTCATTCAAAGTTAAGTGTGGCAGTGTATCTCAAGTACAGACTTCATTCCTTTTACAAAATCAAGATTTACTAATTTCTGCCTTTGGTTCAGTGCATTGTTCTAGAATCTCTGACTATTGTTCCTGTCCTTTTATCTTCTCCCCATTAAGAATGGGTCTGAGCTTAGCTTCTTAATCATGATGTGGGCTGGGTCTGTGTATTTTGTAAACCACAGAAATTGATACAGTGTGGTTTTGCAGCCCAATCCTTAAGGTTATGCAAGGTTGTTTAAGGCTATGAATTGTTAAAAGGGGGAGTCACATTGAACAAAGTGGGGATTTCCTTCTCAGTAAACATGCCTAGGATCGTATTCCTGGTTTCGTACCCTGCTGGGAATAAAAAAGTGGGGAGTTTGTCAAGCTATTTCCTTGCAGGCGAATGAGTCACAAGATGTACAGACCTTCCATAGAGGCAGCTAGTACAATTACAGCTGCATACAACACTGTTCAGTATCATCTTCCAGCTCTTTGAGAACATTATATAGCTTTACTCACATTTCTCATGGTGCTAAGGATATTCCTCCCTTTTCTGTTTGTTCTGATGCAGTCAGTTGCTGCTGTAGCAGTTAACACTCCTTTGTATCTTAACACTCATCAGTCACTCTACAAAAGAACAGATAGTAACCTCTTTTTTCTAAACAGAAATATAATAATATATAATCATTCTGTTACTATACTTATTAATTAAAGTATTGTTTGAAGATATAAAATTGTATTATTTTATAAGTAAACACAAGTAAACATAATGCTGTTTTGGCACATGTGAACCCACTGCATCCTATGTTAGTTCAGTGCATGTGATTCTTACATCTCATGGTTTGTATGATGAGTCCAGCTGGAGGCATTTTTCCTGCTTGTATAATAATATAAGGTTGCATCTAGCATTGTGCATTTGCTTTTCATTGTATTTAGAAGGCATAAATTTCCCCTTTGATAGGTCACTTGATTCCCCACTCCTTTATCATTCTTGTGCAACTGAGAAAAAATATTTTGGAAGAAGAATAGCTAGTATGGGGAAACACTGACAAAAAGAACTGTTAGTAAGATGCTAGATGTATCTGAAGAGGAAATGAATGTATATGGGGGAATCATGCAGGAAAAGGAATTGTAGCAAGATAGTGGGAACCCCTTTGAGGAAAAAGTTTCAGGAAGCAGTCACATTGACATTTTTTATCTCAAATTTGAGCAGAAGATGTTATACTCAACGACTGTCCAGTCCCAGCTGCCTGCTGGAAGAGATGATTTCCAACAAAGAGGTAGCCCAGCAGAAGAGACCCATTTCTTTCCCCAGCTGCCATTTAGAAGAAGGAATGAAACTGAGCAGCTTGCCTGATGAAAAGGTGCCTGTAACTGAAGAAATCAGGTTGAAAGTATCGCCTCTTCCAGCAGTGGAAGATGAAAACATTTTGTCTATTGTGGATGGCGGGGATGACAAATTTCAGAGAGGAAATGAGAATCTTCCACATCTGGAATCAAGGTCACAAAGTCACCCAGAGCAAAATGGAAGCCGGGCTGTGGAACCTGTGTCTCAGGAAGCTCAGGCTTTCGAAGAGATTGTAGCAGTGGCAAGAGAAGACTTCATTTTCTTGGAGGTAAAAACTATGCTGGATATTTTTGAGATGCCCTTTTGACTTTTGTGGTACTTCTGCTTCTTTCTCCCAGGCATGGTCACAGAGCTTGGAAAAGTTTGCACTCCAACTCTGGGACCCTCACAACTAAGCTCTGGCTATGCCCTTGCCCCTGTACAGCCATGTTGAAAGATTTCTGCTACTTTTAAACCTTTTGCTGTCTCTTTTGGGATAAAGAGTTGTAGTGCAGATTTGTTTGACAACATCCTTTTCCATGAACAGTGATGTCTTTGCATTGCTTATTTGTCCCGGGATGCTGGGTTTTGGCCACTGATTGCAGGAGGACCACTGGGGGCATTAGAAGTGTTGGAGGTATGTGGCATTTCTCTTCAGGGAAAATACATCACTCTGATTTCTTCCTTCCCCTCTTCAGGATACAGAGGTTCTCGACAGCACTGCCTACCGTGACCGTGCTAATTTGGGCCGTAAGCGGGGTCATCGGGCACCTGCCACCCGGTCTGGCGGTGCTCTTTCAGAGAGTGACAGAAATAGCTGGATGTTCAAAGATTCCACAGGTATGATGGACTGCTGAGAGCTGGCCTGGCCATAATTTGCATGTGACTTTTTCCATTATATTACTGACATCTCTTGTATTGCGTGGGGTTGTTTTTTTCTATATGCTATAGGTTATATCAGTTGTATGTGGCATTTTTCTGTGAACCTTATGTGTTGGTTATTCTCAGCTAGCCAGCTCTAGTAATATGTACTTTAATAAAGTAATATTTCTATTTTTGCTGTTCTACATATGTTTATTGTGTTTTTGCAGAGTAAAACAAGACAGATTCCTGTCTGAACAAGCCTATAGTTTGAAACTAGATTGTGAACAAAAATAGAAGAAGGGAAAGGAAATGGTGTCAGGAGTAAAAGAGAGATGCATTTGTTTCTGTTCATGTGTTTAGGCTTAGCTCCAAGTTTCAGCAGATGGACCAGATACATAGTCTGTGGCTGACTATGATGAAGATAGCTGGCAGGTTGTTCTCAAATTGTTTGTCTTTACTGTGTTCTAGGCATTATGCTTTATAATGTGGTTTTATTTTTGTCCCTCAAATATAGCATGTACTGGAATTAGTCACATAGTGTTGGTGTATCTTGTGTTGTTGATATCACCACCTTCTCCTTTTAGAGCCTCAAACAGCTTCTGTAGCTTCAGAGGAAGAAATCCATGAGGAGCCAAGGAGCAGGAAGTCACGTAATTCTCCACTGACCAAAGGGGTAAAAGTGCCCCTCTTCCCAGGCCTCAGCCCTTCAGCATTGAAGGTAGAATCTTGCATGAGATGTGAAGAAATATTGTGTGGGATGAGAAGTATTATTAGGGTGGGTGTCAAGACTGTTTATTGGAAATCAGAATATCCAAGGTGATATTTCTAGGCTGAAATCAAAGCAGTAACTGGGGAAAAGACAGTTTTGAAAGAGTGAGGATTAGAGTTTTATTCTTTTGAAGTGTTTTGCTAGGAAACTGCTTCTAATAATGCCATGTTTGACCCTAGGCGAAGTTGCGGGGGCGAAATCGATCTGCGGAGGAAGTTGATCCGCAAATTGAGGCCAAGGAGGCCCCTGTACAGCGCTCTAAATCATGCAAGATTGCCAATGTCAGTGGGAAGCCTCTGGTGCTGCCACCCAAGCCAGAGAAATCCTCAGGGTAGGTGTGTGGTGGTTGTGATGGAGGAGAGATTGTAAAACTATTTGGTGTGATACATTTGTAGTTCCCAGAATTGATACAGAATTGATTGCCAGAATTGATACAGAAAAGGGGTGTGATGTAGCAACTGTTGCAAGAGAAAGGGAGGATTCAACATTAATAGAAAAATAAAGGGAAAAATAAATAGATAAATGAGAGAAAAATCATTTATACCTATAGCCATCTGTATTCTCTTGGTGTCATTGCTTTTGCAGCCAGTATAGATCACCTGTTAAAAAGAGAACATTATTTCTGAGGAACACACACACACACACACACAATGTTATGGTAGAAATCTTCAGGTGGATAATCTTTCATAAAGCCTAATGGTGTCCAGTGTCTACAGATTGTGAAGTGGTTGGTTGGGGTGAGGCAGATGAAAAATGTGGGAAGGAGGAGTGGAATAGAGTAGCTAGAATCTGAAACCTTCTGTTGCCCATTCCTCTGATCTAATTGTGAAGGCATTGCAGCACAGTTGTCAGATCATCTTGGGCATCTTTTGTCCAGTTTAACCAGAGAAGGATAGCCCATGACCCTCCAAATGTTTTTTGGACTGCAGATTCTATGAGCTCTAGAAAGCATAATCAAAGTTGAGGAATGATGAGAGTTGAAATCCAACAACTTCTGGAAGACCACAGGCTGTGTATAACTCATTCTTAGTTGGTGAAGTGACTTATCTTTTTAATATGGATACTGACTGAAACTTGGATATGGCACATAGTTACAATACATGAGTGAGTGAACAACATCCAGGCTATTAAAGCTGGGATAGAGAGCTTGCAGCACTCAGTCTAAATTTTGTGTAGGTGCTGTGTGGAGAGAGTGAGTACTCTGCAGTGTTATAAACTCTGTTGATTTTCAGATTTGGCTTCCTGAGGGTCAACAGGGAAGACCATGCAAAAAGAAAAAGACTGTCCCCTCTTTAAAAAAATCTCATATTAAAATAACAAATAGCTTTCAGTAGTGTTAGTAATAAACCAATTGGCTTCTCTGTTGTGGCGCCCAGATTATGGAAGAGCCAACCTGGAGAATGGGGATGCTCTTAGCTTCTTCACCTGGCTGCTTTTTGGTGTATGATGAAGACTGCTGTAATCTGGAAAGCATTCACTTAAACCAGCCTTTCACAATGTTTGTTGCTTTCACCTGTTTTATTACTGGGATTATATTTGTGACTTGTATTTTATAACTATAGCTGTGGTTTTGCTGAGAACCATCTTAATATGTTTAGGTGAACAAAGGAGGGGCAATATTAACTGAAACAAATAAAACAATAATAGCAAATGCAATGTTTGCTACTCATGTGTAATGACTTGTAGGTTTCCCACAGGCTACTGATCTGGGTTGATTCCCAGCCTGCCATCTAGGAGAGGCACCAGACTTAGAAAATGTATTAGCCGTATATAGCACTCTTAAAATCTTTTTTCTTGTGCATCGTCTTTTTGTCTCTCTAGCAAAAAAATGGGAGAAGAGGTTGGCATATGATGGCATCTAAATGTGATTAGCATATAAACTGTTTTTATTAGAACCACTTCTTGTCTGTCTGGGTCAGTATTTGTAAAAAAACCCTTTTCTGAAAGAAATGCTAAGCTTAAGGCCATGTGTGTGTGTGCACATACATATTCATATACATGCATATATATTGGACAAGGGATATCACTATAATATGATGTAAGTTTATGTATGATTGTTTTATGATGCAGGCATCGAATGGTGCCTTTGCTTTTGTAAGGCCGCTCTGAGTCCCCTTCGGGGTGAGAAGGGCGGGGTAAAAGAACCCCAAATAAATAATAATAAATCACACATTTGGTTCTGGGTTCACATTTGCCGCTGGAAAATTGGTAATTCTCTTTTTTACTACTTTTTAACCATTTCCTTACTCCTTAGATCTGAAACATCCTCACCCAATTGGCTGCAAGTCCTGAAGCTGAAAAAGAAGAAATAATAATACAAACATTCAGGCAAGTGACTCCTCTGTGGGGCTAGAGGCTAGCTTTCCCAACAGGTCGCTGGTTCCGATACTTACACATTTGGAATCGCTGTTGCTTGCTAAGTACACACTGCATACAGTAAACATGGCCTTTGATTTTTCAAGTACAGCAAATTGTGACCAGTATTCCTACAAGAAAAAAAATCTTCCCTGTTAAGCAATATGACCTTTGTACATTTGTGGAATCTATCTCCTCTGATCATTTGTCAGTACTAATTGAAATGTATACAGGGTTAGTTTCTGCGCTGTCACCACTGTATGCCAGAAGTGTGCTTCTAGTTCAACTGCTTAATCACATCTCCTTGTTGAATCTGGGCACTGGCTAAAATACAGCAACTGGATGTAGGCTTGTGGAATCAACCTTTCTACCACCATCTCCTAGTAAGGCTCTGGGTCTCTCAGTATCGACCTAGTTTACCACAGGAGGGTCTGATCTTGTTTGAAGGACAGAAGGGAGATCTTGTGGCTCTCACTGTGCTGATGGGCTTCAGCTTCTATAACCCCTCTTTAGAGGCTTTTGTGAGATGCTTGGAGTCCCAACATTATGAAGGCTACAGGTTGCACCCTGCTATGGAAGGAAGAACCGTGTGCAGAGGCTCCACTGGTACATTCTTTTATATTTACATTGCAAAATCATGCACAGGTTGGGCATCCTACCAAAGTGAAGTATCCTTCAGGTTCATGAGGAATGCTCTTGTCTGACAATTTAAATCTCCATAATAGCACACAATAAAGAGGTTCTACAGCTTTTGCCAACAGCCAGGGGATAATTTACATGACCTGTGATTACAGACACAAGACCAAAAGGCAATTCCAGTATCTGGATTCTTTTGTGAATAGTTAAGCAAGGGAACTGTAATCTCTCACGTGAGGTGCAAGGTCAGAAAGGAATGCCCATTATAGAAAGCAGGAAACAATTCACTTGTGGACTGGAAAAAACACGTGGAATGAAATGACCTTCGGTCTCCTGTTGTTTGGTCTTTGTATGGTTTGCAATTTATTTGAAAGAAGTGCATACATTTGGTTCATAGGTAGCTTCAATTTGGTGCTGGTTTTGTAAATTAAATTAAATTGTAAATCTAATTAAATTGTGAAGTAGGAGATGGAGAGAAAGATTTTTCTCTTTGGGAATCCTGATTAAAATGAAGAAGATGTGATGGGGAGTTGTCATTGTGTCCAGTTTTGCATTTGAATGAATTACATCCATTTCAACATGCTTCTCCTTAAGGTATGCAGGTGGAACTAAAGACTAAAAGGCATGTTTGTGGAACTACATCCTCAAAATGTTGTGCCAAAGTTGGACTATAATCCTCAAATGTATAGGTAGAACTCCTGCCCCCTCCTTGACAATACAAAAAACAGACAAAAACAAACGACAAGCCTGCTGACCTTTGTAATTCCTTTCATATTCTTTTTGTTTCAGATATTGCTCTCCTGCTCCTGGGGCCTTGACAGCAGATGTTCCAGTGAGCTGTTCATGGGTGGGAGGCACCTGGTGGTTTTGGAGCCAGAATCCTCATCCAACAACTTTGAGGGATGGTGCCGGGAGGGATTGGGAGGGGAGAGGGAGAATGAGGCACATTTATGCACTTTGTATCACATTCACTCACTCATGCATATGGCGGACAGATTCTCTCTGCTGCTATCTTGGCTGTTTCCTCCTCCTTTGTTTTTCCTTCTTATACCACATACAATTTTATAAAGTCTCTATTTTTTGTAATCAGTCAAGGAGCTTTATGCTGGCCCCTTTTCTTTCACCCCAAGGTAGGGAGGGAAGACAAAGAGGTGAGGCTTCGGCTTCTCTCTGCTGCCATATAATGCATTTCAGACAAAAGAGGAGTGGATTTTCCCCCTCAGTCACTTGAAACAAATAAAGGTTTTATGGTTATGGAAGCACTGTGGTTGTAGCATGCTTGTGTGTGATACTCTGATCTATATCCAGAGCCAGGCCTTGTTACTTGGCAACAGGCTCCTGAGATGGGCAGACGGCAGTAGGGGTTATAATGAAATGCTGGTGAAAGAAGATCATGTTTTGCTTTTAAGTGGAAAAAGCAGCATTGTCTTTCAGACAGATTTCCTGTTCTTTCCACTTTCTGGTTTTAGGATGAATGCTTCTATTGGAATATTAGTTGCTCTCAGGAGTCAACAGAGAAATTCTTGGGGGTGGGAAAACCATGCCCCTTGGTAAATATGTTAAAGTGGATGTGTAGCTGCTGTGCTGTGCAAGAACATATATTCATCATATTATCATTATCATCACTTGTACTCAATCTCTCCCCACAACTTTAAATGAGGGTTATCATCGTTAAAATATATAAATAAAACAAAGTCTCATGAAATACATATATTAAAAATGGAATAAACATTAAAGCACCCGTTCTAGCAAAATTTGACAAAATGTAAAGTTGACCAGAAAAGATATTTTTTTTAATTGTGTCTTAAATTTTGACAGCAGAGTCCTAGGGCAGCTGATGGAAATGTCCTCTGGATGACAGTTGTCAGTTGGGTTCCGGCTGGTTGGGATAAGTGTCCCCAGGGAAACTAAGTGTTGGGGTGGATTGTACGGGAGAAGACAATCCTATAGGTAAGCCAGACCCAAACCAACACTTTGCCTAAAAAGTGTTTGGCAAGCAGTGGAGAGACTTCAATATGGGTGTGGTATGCTCACTCCTAGATGTCCCCATGTTGAGTCTGGCTGCCATGTTGGAGTTTTCAGACTTGGTACAGAGGTAGCTCAATGTATAGCACATTACAGAAGTAATTAGCAGTGCACGTACCACCATCTTTAGGTCTTCTGATTCTAGGAAGGGGCATATCTGGCCTATCAGCTGAGCTGGTAGCCAGCACTCCCAATCATTGCATCTGCTTGAACTAACATTGGAAGAGATGGATCCAGGAGCACTCCCTAGCTGTAAACACAGTCTTTCAGGGGAACTGAAACCTCATCCAGAACTGGTTGATACACCTCCATTCCCAGCTGAGGACCCTGAAAAGCAAGCATTTCTGTCTTATATAGATTCAGTTTCAATTTGTTTTTCTTCTCATCTATTCAATATCATGTTAATGAAGGCATTCTCAGGAAATAGATCCTGGTGTAGACAAAATTGCATGTTGTACATGCAAGGCTGAGGTGTCAGTAGACTTTGGAGGAGGTTTGCAGAAGTTCAAAGATTTATGAAATCAAAATGATTTACAAAGGATAATGGAGTAATCCAAATGGGAGATGATGATGGACTGCTGACCGAATGTTCAGAACTGGAACAGAATGGCTGGCTGAAACCTTGAACTGAAAGCCACAGCACTACAACATTCTGGAGCACATCCTACTTGTACATATCTAATCCTCTCCAGGCCTGAAGGTGGAGAAAACAGATTCTGGTAATTTGAAGCAGAAGCTGGCTGTATGTGGTGTTGGCTAAAATGGCTAGTCCTAATTGCCTACTGCTTTATGGCACTCTATGGCCATAGGAATTCTGAAGAGTTTAAGGCAGAGACGGACTCTTAAAGAGGAGGGCAAATTTGAAATTTTCCCCCAGGTAATCCACATTCAGACAGCTGTTTTTTCCACTGCTATTCATGAAAGAGAAAGACTAATCATGGTTGAAGAGATTTCTAGGATAGCAAAGAGGTTAACCCCCCTCCTCTGATTCCAATTATGACCTGTATAGAGACCTCATGGGTCATCTAGCCCAACCCCCTGCCAAGAAGCAGGAAAATTGCATTCAAAGCACCCCTGACAGATGGCCATCCAGCCTGTGTTTAAAAGCCTCCAAAGAAGGTGCCTCCACCACACTCCGGGGCAGAGAGTTCCACTGCTGAACAGCTCTCATAGTCAGGAAGTTCTTCCTAATGTTCAGAATGAAGTACACCAGGAATCTACAGGTTGGGTGACTGAGGGTTGACCATTTTTTTCTTTCTTTCAAAATGTATCTTAGCATAATCCTTCCTCCCCTATTTAACTAGCTTTCTCAAGCACCTTCTGGATGTATATATTGCAAGTACAAGTCACCCCACAGTTGAAGATTTAATGCACCATAAGGAAACACATCCCTAGGGTGGAAATGCAGAGCAACTGACCTTCAAATGTAACTGCATGTTTTCAAAGTGCTCCTATTCCCGTATTACTGCCATGGCCACATATAACTACCCTTGAGCTCTACATCAGCACTTCCTTCTCAAAGTTGCTGTGCTTCATGATTCCTTGGTGGGTTCTGCAAAAACTTAGAAGGATAGAACATTGTAGATGTAAGCAGTTTTCTGCGGCCAAAAAATCACTTGCTAGCACCTTACATGAGTATTACTAGGCATAGGATTTAGTCATTCCCCAATGCAGGGATGCAGAATTTGTGTATCCTTGCATTTAACTGAGTGTTCCTCACTTGTTACTGTTTTCAAAGGCTGCCATTTCACATGCCTTTGACTGAGGGCTTGCCCGAAGCATTGCCTTGCAGCCACCAGAGGCCACTGTGGCACTTGCTAAACAGTATCCCATAAATCTTGTCTGCATTTAGACTCTGCAAAAAAACCAGGAAAAGCAAAATTAGTAGGAAATGGAGAGAATAATAATATAATAATAATAATAAGTATTATTATTATTATTATTGTTTATAGACCACCCTATCTCCCAGAGGGGACTCAGGGCAGTTTACACACAAGAAGGCAAACATTCAATGCCCAGGGAAGTGTAAATACATTAAAGCAATACAGCAAATACAAATAATGACAAAAGCGAACTAATTGCATAAAAGGACTATACATCAAAATAAGAAACAGGATACAAATAATAACAAAAACACCATAATCTACCATAGAAGGAGACGAAGAAGAAGGACAAAGGAAGACTAATTCTATCACCACATGCTTCTGGTCTTAAAATGAATTTCCACCAACCATGTTTTTTCTGGATATAAAGTTTAATGGTCCTGTCATAGGATCCATAAACTTTGCCTCATTCTAACTGTTCTTACTGATCCATCTAGTCTAGTGTCATTGACAAGGACTGGCAGTGACTCTTCAAAAAGGAGTTTTTTCAGATAGGAGGAACAGATGGGACCTTCTGCAGGCAAAGCAGGTGTTCTGCCATTGAGCAACTGTGTATCCATCTTTGCAGCTTCAAGATGAAAAACTGCTATGATTTCTAGTTTAAATTCTGGCAAGGGCTTATCATGTAGTGGGTGGAAAACTCAACCCTCCAGACAATTACTGTCAATCTCAGCCAGCATGTTTACTGAGATGATGGGAGTTATCCAATCTGCAGGATGATAGGTTCCACACTGTTCTGTACCAAATGAGAGAGCTCAAGAGAATATAAGTAATTTCAGAATCAATCTTTTAAATAATCCAAAGATTATTTTGGTGAACATTTCAAATAGCTCTTTAATTTAAATTTAGCAATTGAAAGCATTAATACTTTGGTTTGTCTGAAATCATTGTAAATAAAATATTAGGAAAGAGCCCTCCTGACCCCTTTCCACACACACACACACACACACACACACACACACACACACACACACACACACAAATTTAAATTAGGCAGAGCTGTTTGAAATGTTCTCAAAATAATGTTTGGATCAATGAAAATATTAGTTTTCAAAATCACCATATATCATGTTTTTCCCCATTATCTTTTCAACAAATCTGGGGTAAACCAAATAGAACTGGCTTTTGCACATCACTTAAAAATCCAATTATAATTTTAGCTCTGTTACAGGCAGATGTGTTTCGTGATATTTATAGCAGAAAGTGATAGTTCATTCACTGAAATATTTGCATGATAAAACAGTAGGGCTTTTTAAAAGTTGGTCAAAAATATGGAAAGATATCTTTAAAATTTAGAATTTTGTGTTCAGAGGAACTGTGCATTATCACAAAAGTTGTGAGATGAATATACAACACCAAGTCCTATTCTCTAAGTGTGGTTGGTAAACTGCAATTCCAGCCACAGCCTCAAAAACCAGGCATCCTCAAACTGCGGTCCTCCAGCTGTTGGGCCTCCAACTCCCAGAAGCCCTCGCCATCTTGTTCAATGCTCTGGAATTCTGGGAGTTGGAGGCCAAAACAGCTGGAGGGCCACAGTTTGAGGATGCATTCTCAAAAACGGTAACTAGGTAAGATCTCTTTCTTATCTGCACTTTGAATGTTTTGGCCTCCAAGTCTTATGCAGCCTAGTCATCATATCAAATCATTTATGGTGGGAGTTGAACTGTAACAGATTTAGAGGAGACCAGACTGGGGAAGGATTAGAGTAGGAGTAAACACAGCTGGTCTTATAACACCTTAAAGAATGTTTAACCTTTGGTATCTTGTAATTGAAAGATGGGGTTTCACCTTTTTAGTTGAAAGGTGAATGAAAGTAAAAGCACCATTTTATTCTACTTTGATCAGACTTCACCTGTCTGTCATTGGGCATCACAGTTCAAGGATGTTGACAAGCTGGAGTGTGTTCAGAGGTGGGTTGGCCTAAAAAGTACTAAGTCTGGAAACCACACCTTACATAGATCGGCTTACTAAGCTGGGCATGCTCATCTTAGAGAGATTGAGATGTGACATGATAGCCATCTTTAAATATCTGATAGATGTGATGCAAATGATGGAGAAAGCTTGGTTTTTTTTTAGCTCTCCAGGGACTAGAACAAAACCCAATGGATTCAAATTACAATTCTACCTAAACACTGGGAAGATATTATACACGCATTTCTATAGTGGAATAGCTTGCCTCAGAGGGTTTTGGGCTCCCCATCTTTGAAGGTCTTTAAACAGGTTGGATGACCATCTCTGGAAGTGCATTAGTTGTGTAATCCTGGATGGCAAGTGGTTGGTCTAGATGGCCGTTTCAGTACTCTCCAACTCTATGATTTTAAAACTTCTGCTGGACTATGAAGCTCAATGGG